GCATTTTTTTTTTTTTTTTTTTTGACTACGTTTAGGTTTAGTAAAGAGGAAGGGACGCGCGAAAAATCACAAGTATCGATGTACCTATGCGGCTCAGTCGACAAACGCACTTGTGTCAGCTATGTTTTTCGATTAAGTCATAATAGCAGTAATTTTCATCATTATTGACATTAATAGCATGAAATTATGTTAACCGATCGCAACCCAAATAACAGTGTTGAACAAATTTCATATCATTAGAAGTGAACGCGCGTTGTAAACCAGGTAATACCTCACGACAAAACGCAATGGGATACTGGCTCTGACGAAAAAAAAAACAGATTTAAAAAAGAAGATCGTCAACTTAATTCATCATGACGGTTAGCTACCAATCGAAAGTAGCATCTTCGAGTCACGCGGGATTCACGAAGTTACTGTTCCTGTGGAGAGGCAGTTTGTACCAAGTCCTCTACAGAGAATTAATTATATTCATGATAGCATTCGGTACCCTCAGCGCCATTTATCGCAATGTTTTCAACGAACGACAAAAAGAGTAAGCTCCATTTTTTATTTACACGTTTAAGTTGATATATATATATATATATATAATGCACATTACGAGTTCATAATGTATTTTAACTCAAAATATATGTACTTTTTGCATACTTAAATATGGTACAGCCTTTGGCTATTTTTAAGAAGTTAATAAATTATTTCGATGTAACTTTTCTAAAGTCTAAATAATGGGTTGGTTGATTGAATAAAATAAAATTTAAACGGACAACTATAAACACCTGAATAATTTGATCGTATAAGTAAATAAACTGTAAAAATGAATCCTGACTTAGGGGCTAAAACAAAAAGCCGAAGTGGTCGATAAAAGAAAATAATTGAAATGCTTTAGCACCTACTTCACTCTGTCACAAATCGTAAACAATTATTTGTTTTATTCTCAAAGAAAAACAATTTTAACAAACAAAATTATTCGGTTTCTATTATATCGCTTTTTTTTCGTTAGAACCGCGTTTCCTTGTTTCGTAGACTGCAAGAGCTTTTAATGAATGATTTTTATGCGACTTGGCAGAGCCCTAAACGAATGCATGTAATAGAAATTCAACTTTATTGTTTAGAGCCATTGAGAACAAACACGTTATCTTCGTCATTGTTTTTACTGCATTTTACACCTTTAGCCTATACAATAACTATCGTGTAATAACTAACTGTTTACCATATGTTTATTTTTATTGAACATTTTGTGTAATATCCAGTTCTTTAATGATCATTGAAATGTTATAACTATTGATGTTTACTAAGAGCTTAATATTCAGAATTATTAACTAGAATTATTAATACTAAAACTACGTACTTTTAGAAAAATAAAACTCAAGAAAACAAACTTGAATTTAAAAAAACGCACATATTAATACAATATTTAGATAATAAAAGTTACTAGCTTGTTTAATTTAAAAAACAAAAATAATAAATTAATATATGTTTTTGTTTACAAGGTTAAATTTAGTTTAAACCAGTGATTTTTAAAAAATTTAGAGAAATTAATTATTTTAATGTCAAATACAAATTTAAAAAATGATTTTTAGCTTCAATGCGAAGCTGAGAAGTTTTTATTTTTTATATTATTTTTTTTATGCCTGTTACCACTTCTCTCAGCTTTCGTCGGACTGATTTCTTTCAACAATACGTCTAAAGAACAAAAATAGTATCTAATTAAAAACATTGCCCATGAAAATTGAAAAAAATTCGCTCAATCAATTTTAAAGGTATAAAATCCCTAAAAAAATGTCGATTTTTAAAATAACTGAATTTTAACTTTTTTTTTAAAACTGTCATTACCTCATTAAAAGTGCAAAATACAAAATGATTTTTTTTTACATAAATGCCTTAGGTATTTTCCTTTCATTTAGTATAAATTTTTTGAAAATTTGACCTTTTATCTGCCCACAGGAAGAGATTCGAAATAGCATGTTTTGCACAAAAATTTAATTTTTTCAACTTAAGTTTTGAAAATGTTTTAGAAATTTTCCCAGCTTCAAACATTTGTATTTTAAAATTTATGTTACTATAAGTTAAAGAAAAAAAATTGTCCCAATAACTTGTCTTGTGTATATAAACGGTGCTCAAATTTAAACAAAAAATATTATTTTGGTGTAAAAAACACTGTTTTTAAGTTGTTATTTTTACTTAAACTTGTTATATATATATTTTTATTATAATTTAATGCTCTCGATGTTTAAATAGATACTACAATTGAAATATTCAGAGCTATATTTTATATAGTTATATCCTATATTATATTATATAATCTACTAATATTCAGAAATATTCAGGTCCTAGTTTCACTATGACTTTGTCCGCTGATGTGCTGTTGAATTTCATTTTCACCTAAATTGATTTAGAAAAAGTTTATTTTGGTCACTATTGATGATTCCTTGTAAACCAGTTTAGATTAAATTATTTTCTGAAAAGTTTTGTATCAAACACTTCAATCTTTAGACAATTTTTTTAGAGTTTTTTTTTTATTGTCACTGAAGTAACGAAATATACAACTACTCTGTAATTTCTCTACAAAATTTACAATATTAAACTATTGAATATCAATTTCATACTAAGATCAATTACTATAATTAAAATTATAAAATACTAAGTATTTATTAATATATTAATCATATAAATCAAATGATTGCTAATCAGGATATAACTAAGGAAATTAGAGTTGTTTTTGGAATAATTCAGATAACATCTATGGTGGCATAGTCCTATCTATGCCACGTATCCACAGTAACACAACCCCACAGTACTACCATTTTAAAAAATTTTTTTTTTTGTTAATGACAGGCTACATAATTTAAAATAAAATAGGTTCTTAAGTCTTTTCAACTGTAAATGTCAGTTGTAACTATTCTGAACAATGTTTACAAGACCAAGTTGTAGGATTCATACAACTAGTCAATGTAACTGTCAACAAGCCAAAATATGCATTTATTTGTAAACAATGTCGACTATTTTCATAAATCATGAAGATATCTTTTTTACATAATCGAAGACTAAGTTTAATAAAAATTAACATAATATATATTATTAATATTTCTAATAAAATCAAAATTTGCAGCATTTACCATGTAAAAACTTTAAAAAAAAATGTAATAACTAATTACATTTATATAGGATTTTGGGTAAATAAACAATTTTATTATAAAGTACTTTGTTTTTTTAGGTAATATAAGACTATACAGTTACATATTTTTACAACAACATCTTACATTACTGGTTCATGATATCTACTACTGAATACATTATTTAAAAATTCAAGGTTTCATGAAGCACCCTATTTTTCTTACACAAAATTTTACCATCTACTAACCTATTTGTATTCAAATTCATAGTTAAAACAATCATTAATTATCTTAACAATAAATCATTGAACATAAAAAGAGTATCTATTCTACATAAGTGAAAGCGTTTCGCTCTCAAATTTAAATTATAATTCTGATTTTTGTTAATTTGCTTCCTACAATGAGATTGTTTTTACTTTGAAATACAGTAAGTTTGAAAACCTTTCGGGATAAAATAAAAAAGGGTTAAGACAAGGTTACATGTAGCACTGCGTGCAAAAACTTTTGAAATATTTTGATAACTGTTTCGTCCCCTTTGACTCCGCTAGTGCTCTATAGTTTATCGCATAAAAATGTTAATTAATTAATTCACTTAAACCAGAACACTTGCTCATCAGCCTGCTGTTTATATGTTTTTGAAACACAATATTATCTAAGTACCGTTATGCAAATATAATCGGTTTTGTCAATTAGGCGTACAAAATTGTTTGTTAGTATCAAAATATTTTACACACATGAGTCACTAACATTAAAATGTGTTCATTTTGCATGCCAATAAATGATATCTATAATTTATGAACTGCATCTCACATGAGAGATAATTCAGAACTTTAGCAAAATTTTGAATTATCCTTCATTTATTATAATATATTTAATATAATATAAAATTTATGAAAATGTTTTTAAAACAATTAAAAAAAAATGCTAATTTAATTACTAAGTATATATACTTATTAATTCAAACAAAGGATAATATTATTATTTAAGGGATTGAAATATTCATTAGTCATGGAAAAAAACAATTATTATTATTTACTACATCATAATTTGTAACTTAATAAGTAATTTAACACTTTGATGCCGAAGGAAGTAAATATTAACAAGAAGAAACTCTTCCTAAAAAATTTCACCACTGTTCATTGGTCACTAATTATTATGTAATGTGGCTGTGGGTGGAAATTTGAGTAAAGAGATAAAATATTTTTTTAACTATTTCCGACAGATTGATTTATACATCTAAAATAATACAATTTGTTTCGACATAAACTAAAATATAATAAAAGAATAGATATTATTACATTAAGCTTGGAACTCTGCCAAATGAACATTATTATCAAAATCGCGAATACATTTAGCTACTGCTGCTGAATGTTTCATCAATTTCAACGGCAATAAATCACAAAAACGCATTGTTCACAACAATGGGGGAGCAACAAGTGTATTATTTTCCTACACGAATCAATTTATTGTTCATATAAATGTAACCCACGCACATCATTTGAGTGCAATTTGTCGAGCTTTCGTCGTTTGATATTCGTTGAACGAACCTAAGAAACTTTTATAGTTTGACATAAATTATGAAAGAAATGACATGAAATAATCATGAGTTTGGGGCACAAAATGAAGGGATAAACCACAACGATAAGAAAATTATCATTTTCGATTGCGTCACTGGTAGTTACTTTGGTTTACCCTTAGCTGTCATTTAAATTTAATTAATAAGTATTGTGTTAAATCTTTGACAGGACGCTTCCTTGATTAAACTAATTATTATGAACTTCCCATCAAAAAATTGATTTATAAATTAACGATTAAGCGGATAAAAATTTATTAGGTTTAAATTTTTTTCTTGGGATAATTATGAAAAATAATCTAATTATGAAACAAATTTAAATGATGACGTATGCTAAGAAACAAAGACTCTCGCTATCTATTTTTGTTTACTACTTTGTTATGACTAGTATGCTTAAAATAAACAATGTAATTTGAATCCATCGTGGTTTTCAGCCATATCACCCTTAGGTGCGGTTCATTATGTTTTCTATAGGTGATTCCATTTATAATCAACAAAATTTTTTGATCTTTGTTGTTTAAATTTGTATGACATTTTTTAAGATTTCTATAGATACAATAAATAATAAATTATATTATAAAATCAAATATTATATATTTTTTGGTCAACGGTCCCATTGAAATCGCTTTGTATATTCAACTCAAAAAAAAGAGCATGGTAATTTTCAAAAAGTCTTTAATTTTTATAAAATTAAGTTAAAGATTTCTGTTGAACTGTTTTTTTTTATCGCGTCTTATTTAATTTTAAATTATATAATATATGAAAACACTCGTGAGAGCTCAAGATTTTCTCAACTTTGAACTTTATTAATAAAAAATTCTTTTAATTAAAAATTAAAAAAAAAATGTC